CCCGCTCCACCCGGGCAGGCGGGAGGCGGCCGGGCCGCCCGACCGCTGGAGGGGCACCCTCGGGGATTTGAAAGGACGCGATTCGGTTCCGAGGAGACGGACGCGGAGGCCCGAGGCGCAGGGCTAAGGATCCGGATCCCGAAAGTAGCCGGGCCCTGCTCGCCTGCGCTTAGAGGCGCATCGGGACTGCGCCCGGCTCTGCCCGCGTCCCCGCGCCGGCAGGCTTTTAGGGTGTTTTCCTGCTTGATGGAGTTTCCGTGCTGTGCAGATAAGAACGCATTAAGTCGGTTGCCCCTGGTGGGGGCTGCTTGGAATCCCGGGGTCGTATTCCCGGTGTCAGCGCCTCCCTGCTGCGTCGGTTCAGGGACAGCAGCTCCAGCGTGCAGAGTGCACCCGGGTTGTCCCCAGTGATGTGCCAGGCTGAGCTCGGGGGCCGTGTCACTGTAACAACATAATGGGGAAAACAGGTATCTGATGAGGGCCTCTCCAACTTTAAAATGTAACCTGACCTGTGAAAAGAGGTGTGCTCTCTGCATGGCGAGGCGGCGGAACTGGACCTCTGGCATTGCCTTCCCGCCGCGCCTTCTCCCCAGTGCCCGGCTCCTCCGAATCCGGTTTTATGTTGCACTGAAGACACTGTGCAGATGACCGCGCCGGTTATGAAGCCGCTGTGTGGTTCGATTCCATGTATTGGAAGCAACTCAAGAGTTTTTTTTACACTATTGCAGCATTTTTTTTCTTTCTTTCTTCTTTTTTTTTTTTTGAAATTTTTCCCCTTAAGGGAGGCACTGGGGATTGAACCCAGGACCTCATGCACACCAATCATGGGCTCTACCTCTGAGCTATACCCCTCACCCCGGATACAGTATTTTTTAAAGAAAACAAAAATTAAAAGGCTATAGAGAAGAATGTCTATTTGATACAGTAGACTCTATTACTCCAAGCGGAATTTCTTGTAAATTAGAAATCAGATCTGTCCTGTTTAAAAGTTGCTGTCTTTGCAAAGGAGCCTGGACAGAGCTGCAGCCGTCAGCTTAGCATAGTCATGTCAATGACTTGCTAACTGCTTCTGGATTAGAGAGTCAGGAAGGCAGCGCCGGGAGGTGCCTCCCAGGGTCCTGCTGTCTTCCCACACTGCAGAGACGGCCCCTGTGCAGCCTCTCCTCCTGTGGTTCCGTGACTGCTGCACGGAGGGACCGAGCTGGCTACAGAGTGGAGCTTCCGTTGGCTTTCCACTCACCAGTTTCTCAAGTCCCAGCTGCTGGCTTAGCTGGCCTGTGTGTGGGCACCCAGACCCACCCTGCCTGGGGAAGCACACAGTGGCCGGCAGAGAGGCATGACACGCATGTGACTGGAAGGAGTGGTGCCGTGCCGCTGTGAATTGTCCTGACGAAGGGGTGGGAGCCCAGCTGATGATTAACTTGGCCTCAGTAGTGTGCAGATCAGACTTGTGAGTGCCCAGCCTCTAATTACAAGTAGCCTTTTGGGAGAGAAGATCAAACAGGGGTTTTTTTGTTTTATTTTTTATTTTATTTAATGTGGGGACCAGAAGGAACACGCACACTTTGTCTTGCAACTTTGTTCTTGGAACAGATTACGGGATCAAAAGGGAGGAATAATTGCAAAGGTGTGACATCAGCCCAGTGATTAACACCTTCACATTTTTTCTTACAGGGAAAAAATGAGGAGTAATCCTAGTTCTGTGATGACAAGCACAATCAAAAGACCTGTGTGGGGGAGGGTGCAGCTCAGGGGTAGAGCGCGTGCTTAGCGTGCATGAGGTCCTGGGTTCAGTCCCCGGCACCTCCATTAAAATAAACAAGTAAATAAGCCTACTTACTTCCCCCAAAACAAAAACAAAATAATAAATAGGTAAAATATTTTTAAAAACACCTTCATCTCCAGCGGAGCTGCACACTTCAGTAACTCCCCGCTCACATAGTAGGGCCTCTTCCCACCCCCACCCTGGTGTTAATCTGCCAAGGGGCACCTTTCAGGTGTGAAGGCAGGAAGAACTTTTATCTGAGCCTTCATAGCTTTGTCCCACAGAATTCCCAAGTGAGAATGAGCTGGAGCATTTGGGGGGATTTAAACTGCAGTTAGAATCGCGGTTTCTACCATGTTAACGCTGACCACAACGTTGTGCACCTTCTCAATTGCTGCGTCTCCGATCACACGAGGAAGCGCGTAGTAGGTACTCAGTATCTGTGGAGTAAGTAAACGAGCAGCTTTTCTTGCTGTCACAAAGGGGAAACGGTTTCAGCACTCACTCTCTCCGTGTTCTAGGTTTCTAAGGTTAAGAACCTCCCATGACCTCCGACCAGAGCAGCCCTACCGCTCTGCTGTCCTGGGCTCACCTGTCTGTCTTCCCAGGAGGGGTCCCCTGGGAGCAGCGGCTGCCGTCCCTATTTTTAGAAGGGCTAACTCCCCGCAGTGATGTGGACTCAGGAGCCCGAGGGGCCTGGGAGCCCCGTCTCCCACCAGGAGGCGCTGCGGGGGCCGGGGAGACAGGGGCCCTGGGTGGGAGGTGAGGAAGCGGATCCTGGGGAATTTCCTGGTGGCTGGCTCTGCTGGTCACAACTTGCCCTGAGCCTGCGTGGCAGCAGCGTCTCCCGGCCGCCAGGTGCCGGCGTTAAGGGCTGGAGGTCTGACTGCAGGTGTAACACCCCCACCCCCGCCTGGTAGTTTCCTGGGACGGACCACACTGGCTCCTCAAATTACCAGGGGATCGAACTCGCTCAAGGTCGTGGGGGGAGGCATCCTTCTGTGATGCTAGTGCTCCTTATCCTGAGGCCAACCTGTGACCTTGGCCCTTTGGCGGATCTCTTTTCAAGCGAGGCCGAAACGCTTACCCAACCACAGGGCCCTTGTGAGGCCTCAGAATTCCTGCGGAAGACGCTTCCTTTGCTTGTTCTCAGCTTTCAAGGAAAGAACACAGGTGTTTTAGAGGCCACGTCCGTGTCCTGAACTTTGGGACAGTTTTCATTTTTGTCCTCCGAATCTGCTGGAAAGCTGAACGGTAGACAGGAGCAAAAGGCGAAGCCGGTGGAACTCGGGTCTCTCGTGGCGAGCAGAGGAAACGTTTCCAAAACGCGGGGGATCAGCCAGGTATTTGTTCTGAATGGCATATCCCTGAGCAGAAGTTTGAACTAATAAATATGAATCCTTCTGCAAAACCAAACAACCAACTTTTTAAGACCACAAACTTCTGTGGTTGTGAAAAATTGGTCCTTGGGAGCTGGTCAGAGTGCAAGGGCCCAGGCACGCCCTGGAGTCTCAGGTAGTGGCAGGGAGCCCCAGAGTCTGTGTGGACGCCAGGGTGCGTGCTCCCAGTTCCTGGGACCCGTGTGCTCCCCCTTACATGGGACCCCCCTCGCCCAGGTTCGGGGGCTTCTGGCAGGATGTGGTATCCTGACCATGAGCCTGAGGGCCTGCGGTGAGTGGGGAGGGCGGCTGGCCCCCAGCTTGCGGGCTGCTCTGTGGGGAGTCCGTGTGATGGCCACAGTCAAGTTGACGGGGCATCGACGTCTCTGTCACACGTTTTCTCTGCAGAGACACGTGGATGGAGCTGCCCCGTGGCTGGCTCTGCAGTGGGTCATGCCCGGTCCTGGCCACATAGGGAACTTAGACCGAGCACAAAGTTAGAGGCCCAGGAGGAGTTCTTGAGAAGCAGACACAGAAGGCTCAGTTGAGGGACGGGGAAGGTGACAGAGGACGGCATAAACCCTGATGGTGAAGCCCCGCAGCCGTGCAGTGGGGTCCTGAGGGCGCAGTAAATCATCTGAGAGTCCCAGAGAGCCCGGCGCCCGTGCGCTCTCAACATTCATCAGAACCCGCCAACTGCAGGCCTGGCTGGGCAAACATTAATCACAAAGCAATTATTCTAGCACAAACACACAGGGCTCCGGTTTTGGGGGGGAAGGGGTGTGGAGAGGGAGGAAAGAAGCCAACTGTGGGATCCAGAGATGACCTCCTTCAGAAGGAAGAGGATGTCGTGATTTGGAGGAGGTCAAATTGATGTTTTTGAGCGAAGTGTGGTCTAACAGAGGAACTTAATTTTCTGCTGGTACCATGGTCTTGTTTTACGACAGGAGAAAAATCACTTGCAGTAAAAATCCCCTTTGTTTGAATCTAAGTGTTTTCTGCCCGGATGGTGATTGGCTGGGAGCCCATCTTTGCCGCCCCACCCCCAGCCCGGCTCTCAGGCCGTGCTGTCCACCTGGGGGCCGGTTCCCTTTGTGAAGAGGTGCAGGTGGGAAGCCGGGATGTTTAGGCTGGTCTGGGTGGTTCTGAGTATTTAAGTTTTGATTAAACTCCGGACTGTTTTTGGCCGTGTTGTGTTTACAGGTAGGTGAGGCTGGGAGGCTGTGGCCTGGAGGTGGTTCTGAGACCCCTGGTGTCTGCCCCTCACCAGGTGCTGCCGGCCGGGCCCCCAGCCCCTCACCCCAGCCCTCACCTGGGCTGGTCAGGATGCCATGGCCCACCCAGTCCTCCCGAAAGAAAGAGAAATTACCACCACCTGCTTCTCTCTTGGACCGACTTCTCATACTATTGAAATGACTGAAGTAATTCCTCATTTCCTGTATAAAAATTTAAAATACAGTTAGTTATTTTCTTAAACAGGATAACCCACATCACTACGTTCGTTAGTTATTTGCCTTAAACTTAAGTGTTAATTCAAACAAGAAATTTAGGCCGCGGACCTAGGAAACAGGGTGAAGTTTGATCACTGAAGGAAGGAAGTCAGCATTTATTAAATACCCAGTGCTACACGTGACTTACGTGTGTGTGAGCATATACGTGAGCCCTAGCCACATACATGTGTTATATGTATGTTACATGATGCACACACACGTGTGGTTAATGCGCACAGTGACCCGTTAGACAGCCGGGGAAGCCGAAGCCTGGAGGAGCTGGGGCCCAGGAAGGCAGAGCTGAGATGTGACCTCAAAACCAGACAGGTCCTGGGGCTGGTGTTCAGGCTGCTGTGACCCCAGGCACAGGGCCCTTTGCTCTTGCAGTGCCCCCATCCCCAAAAGTCTGACAAAACTCAGAACAGTTCAAAATGCTACCTGTGATGTGGGGCTGAGACCCTGCAGAAGAGGGTCCTTGTTTTTCTTTCCTGGGGACTTTCCTGTACCCTGAAAGGTAGAAAGGTCAGTCCTCCCCAGGTGCCATGGACGGGCCACCGTGACAGACCCGTGACGCACCAGACGCAGGGTCCACGCAGCACGTGCCCGGGGAAGCAGATTCTCACCGGGACCGAAAAGGAAACGGGTGATCACCCCGGACCCAGTGCATCGCACAGGGAGCTGCATTCCAGCGCTCGTAGCGCCCCGCGGTGGAAAGGAATCTGGAAAGGATGTGTGTGTGTGTAACCGAATCCCTGTGCTGCACACCAGAAGCTAGCACGGCATTGCACGTCACTGCACCTCCGCAAAGAAAGACAGCAGCTGAGAATCTTACCAGCGGCTCCTGCCAGAGGAGGGTCCTTGTCCCGTTTTTGATCCTGATTGCACCCTAATCAGCCGTATTTCTCCATGTCCTTATGAAGAAACGTCTAACCGGAAATGCTGATAAAAAGCCGTCTGCAGTTGGGAGGCCGGCTGGAGGTGGGGGGTGGCGTAGGTTCTCCTTCAGGCGTGAGTGAGGAGGAGCCGCCTGGCAGGCGCCCGGCTGCGGGTTTGGGGGCTAGGCCGCACCGGCGACGCGGCGGCACGTGGGGCCTCGGGCATCGGTTTCTGTGCCCGCAGGGGTTTGGCGTCTCCCTTTTCCCCTTCTTAGAGCCGCTTAAGGCGCCAGGACGTCGGCCTGAAAACCCACCTGGACCAGCTGGACCAGCAGATCAGCGAGCTGCAGCTGGACGTGCGCAGAAGCTCCAGCGAGGCCCCCGACAGCGACAGCAGGCCCAGCTCGGGTACGGCGCCCGCCCTGGGCTCGGGGCGGCGTGGCTTCGCGGAGGGACACTCTGGTCTGTCGCTTGTCCTGGGGCCCCGGGCATCGGGGGTCAGTGCTCTGGCCCAACGGAGGGGACCTGCCTCTGCTCTCTGGGAGCTGCGCGCAAGCCCAGAACAGCGCGTTACTGGCGCGTGCTGAAGAGGGGCTGCTTTTACTTAAATGTGCCTGGGGGGGGGGGGGGCGATACACACTGTTTAACTGGGAAAATACTGCTTTGGATGGAGAGAAGCCCCAGGAGTCTCCCCCCTCCCCCTGGGCCGAGGCAGATGCTTCTGGGCTCTTTTCTGTTGAATCAGCATGCAAGTTGTCAGTAGTCACTTTTACGTGACAGAAGTATTTTTTAAGTCTGTAGGCTTATTCAGTCTAAAGCCGGTGTCGTGAGAGATGCTGGCTTCCGCCCCTGCTGCCCCAGTGCTCCAAGGTCACACAGAGGTGGCTGGAGAGCCTCTCTGACTGTCACGGCCCTGGGTACATGGGCTTTCCGTCCAGATTACACTGCCAGGCAAACCTAGGAGACCAGGGTTCTCTCCGAGGACAGTGTTTCCTTCTCTTGTTTTTAATTTGCAAAGTCGTGCCCCAGTCTAGGTTGTCATGCCCATAGCAGGGCGGGGCCGGGGGACCTCCCGAAATGCGGCTTCTTGTCTGGTTGCTTCTCTGGATGAGCCTGGCAGGCACCAAGGACGGAGGCGGGGGGAAGCCAGAGTCTCTCTCCCCAGGGCTAGAGGCCAGTGGTCACGTCGGCAAAACAAGCCACTGGGCAAGGATCGGGATGGGCAGGTGGTGGGCGTGGGTGATGGGGGTCCCACCAACCCTGCCGTGGGCGGCAGGAGACAGTAGTAGGGAGGCCTCCTCGGTGTTCCAGCCCTGGCCACCCCCAGGCCGGCTTCCCTGGGGCCCCGCAGTCCCCTTAGCGCAGGGCTCCCTGGGGAGCTGGGCTGACCGCCCTGTCCCCGGTCCAGGCTTCTACGAGCTGAGCGACGGCGGCTCCTGCTCCCTGTCCACCTCCTGCACGTCCGTGTGCAGTGACCGCCTGTCCTCTTCCCTGGGCACGCTGCTGCCCGCCACCGCCAAGGCCGGGCCCAGCACCGGGGACTGCCGGCCCCGGTCAGCAGACGAGACCACCGTGTGTGGGGTCCCCCCTGCCTACGTGGGGACCCCAGGCCAGCGAGGAGGGCGAGTCCCGGCCCAGGCCGGTGTCTACAGGTAAGGAGAGCCAGGAGGGTGGGCGGTCCCAGCCCAGGCAGTGGGGGCGGCTCCGAGCCCCTTCCCAGGGGCGGGGGCGGCCGCCGCCCTGCTGAGCACCAGCGAGAAGCCCTGTGCGTGTGGGGCTGGTACCGCCCCCACGGGTGCTGCTCCAAATTCTCTGTAGGCTTTTTTGGGTTTTGGATGGAGGTAGAAATCAAACACCCACTTCTGCTCATTATAACAGGGCTGTTGTAATAGAAAGCATTTTTTCTTATTATTTAAAATGAACATCCTTCCACACCCTTGCACGGCCGTCCTGGCTCTGCCAGTGACCAGAGTGGGTGCAGTGCTGAGTGTGGACGTGGGGAGAGAGCTGTGCCCCCACAGGCCAGGGAAGAGCCTTTCTGTTACTTCCAACGAGCTCAAAGGGAAGACCTTAATCCTTTACTCCTAACGCTAGACCTGGTGTGGTGAGCCTTCTCTGGCTGAATCTGTGATCACCCAGGGAAGTCCGTTCCAAGGTCTTGCCCGGTGTCGGCTGGCCCCTGGGCATCCTCCGCACCTCTGGTGGACGAGGGCGTGGAACTGAATGTTTGGGTCTGCGACTTACCTTCTAAGCTGTTGCTGGAAGGGGCCTGACTGGGGCCGGGCGAGGGCGCGTGTGCAGAGGACACTCTGTCCAGGCACCGATGTGAGAGGCTGGGGTGGCTTGTCCTGTGGCCGCCTGCCTCGAGCCCCAGGGCCACACTCACCTCTTCCCTTATTTACCTCTTGTTCTTCTTTTCCTCCCCAGGTGATCTTGAGAGAGCCCTGCCGGCTGAGGTGAGGCTCCAGAAAGCCAGTGCGCACCCCAAGGCCACTTCCCTCCTCTGCCACGGCGTAGACCCCAAGTTCCAGCGTGACCTGGTGTCCAAGGGGGGCAGGGAGGTGTACCCATACCCCAGCCCCCTGCACGCTGTGGCTTTGCAGAGCCCCCTCTTTGCTCTGACCAAGGAGACATTGCAGAGCCACAGCCCCTTGCCCCCAGGCCAGCCCCCTCCCGGCCCTGCGGGTCCGAGCTCCGTTCGGGCTGCTCTGGGCCCGGATGCTGGCCCGGCCGGAGCCTATATAGACAAGCTGCTGCGACTGCGGGGCCGGGGACCAGCCCCGAGGGGCAGCGTGACTGAGCGGGGCCTCCCAAGACGGGCGGCGTCCCCCTCCCTGCCGGAGCTCGGTGGCCAGAGGGCAGATAGTGAGGGTGGCCTGGAGAAGCTGGCCTGGGCCCCAGGAGGGGCAGAAGGGGGAGGGCTGGTGCAGAGGGGGGACGCCGGTGGGGACAGCCTCCCGCAGCCGGGCCCTGCGCCCCTTGTGGACACCCTGCACTCCAGCAGCCTTCCAGATAAGGGACCCCAACCCTCACGGGAGGAGGCTGGTGCAGGCTCCCCCTCAATGGGGTGCGGCCAAGCCCCCTCTCCCCGCTCCCGGGCCCAGCAGCTGGCACCCGACGGCTGGACGGGTAGAGGCAGGTCCCCGTGTGGGAGGGCAGGGGGGAACAGTGTCCCTCTGGCCCCCGGACACTGTGCCCACCCCCACTTTGTTGCCAGCAGACCTTCCCCGACAGGGCAGAAAACGCCACCCCCCAAGACAAAGCCTGTGAAGGTCAGGAGGGGCACCAGTGACAGGGCGGGAAGGTTTGGGGGGCAGCCCCTCCAGTGGGGTGCCTTCCCAGCCCCCCGGCCTCCTCCTGCATCAGGGGGTGGTCTCAGGAGGCCCACCCTGGCCAGGGGGGCGCCCGGCCGGTCCTGGCTCAGAGTCCAGCCTCTACCCCGTGTCCTTCTTCGTCCCCTGCTGGTGGCCGACGGGAG